GAGAGAGAGAGAGAGAGAGAGAGAGAGAGAGAGAGAGAGAGAGAGAGAGAGAGAACGAGAGAACATACGAACATACACAGGCCAGCCTCCCAGGACAGTACCAGAAGATCAGCTGTGAAGATGCTGGGAGGCTAGTCCTTCCCTCCATGTTCACCCTTGCTTTGTTTCTTCTTTCTTCTATTATTCCTCCAACTCTCTCTCTTATTCTTTACTTCTGCCTCTTTCTATTTTCCATCTGATTATCTATGCCTTATGACTCTATCATCTCTTACAAGTTCTTATTCCTACAGAGACCACAGAGTTCTCAAAAACCCACAGAGGGCCCCTTATTTACATTTTTATTCCTTTGTCCCTACTAAACCTTCTTTTTACTCACTCAATGACTCCAATGACAAAATGTCAAAGGATGTGATATTTTATTTGTGGCCAAGGAAAAGAGTTGTTTTTCTGGGATGGGTAAGCACTGCTCAAAGCAGAGTTGGTGATCATCACCCGTACCGGAAGCTGTAGCATCTTGAAATAGAGTTTCTACCAAGAAATCCAGTCAGAAATCCCATCTTTTTCCCCTTCAGCATGAATGAGAGTTCCTGGAGGTTTTCCCAAAATAACTTTGTTTTTCATAAGAGATAGAGATACAAATTGAGCTTGTCATTAGCATCATGGAAGTCAGAGAGTTAGTTCACTGACAGCTCAACCACAATGTCCACACAGTGGGTTTAAGCAAGGATACACAACATTAATAAGACTAAGACTAACCAAACAGACGGGATTCTAACCTGAATGGTAACATTGAAACTAAAAGAATTTTGTCCCTCAGAACAAGGTCTTCAGGGTGAATGGAGATCAATTAGGCAAACAGCAGCAGTGCCTATGGTGGCTAGTGTTATTTGTCAACTGGATAAACCTGAGAATCAACTGGGAGATGATCCCTGAGCTGTTTCTTTGGAGGATGATCTTGACCATGTTAGCTGACACGGAAGAGCCGTGTTACTGGTGGACGAACCCGAACTGTGTAAGAATGGAGGAAGTGACCTGAGCAATAGCACGCATGAGTCTGTACTGTCTTCTGACTGCAGACACAACGTGACCAGATGCTTCAGGGGCCTGATGCCTTAACTTCTGCACCACGGTGCTCTACAGCCTAGAATGTGAGCCGAAAGAAACACTTTCTCCCTTAAGTTGCTTTTGTTAAAGTATTTTTATCACAGGAAGAAAAAACTCACTAAGACAATGCCTGTCTTGATTGTTCTGAGGATGGGTCCCCTGAGAGGTCAACATGAAGGTTTGGTCCCTGTGGTGAGTGGGACATTCCTTTTATCTTCATGGGGAGGAAGATGCTCTTGCCCTTCAGAATCTGAAGCCATTGAAGGTCTGAGTTACCCAAGCACCCCTCCTACAGCCTCAGGCTCAATTCATCTTCTGACTTCTGCCTTCCTTCAGGCATGTTCACAATACAGAGCCCTGGAGAAGCTGATGGGACCCCGAATCTGCTTGATAGTCATGTCAATCAACTGGACTTTGGCCTTATGGGCAGTTTGTGTGCAATGAGTTAGATATCCTGAATCAGTAGAATTGGCTCTGTGGCTTTTTTCAAGTTTCATTCCAAGATCAAGGGCACTCTCAGCCCATTGACCACAGCAAGTGTCTTCAGGAAGAGATTTCTGGTATTCAGCCTGTTGTCTCCCTCTCATGATTCCTGACCCTCCCAGTGCATGACACCCAGCCCCTCCAACTTCTATACTCCAGAAGTCCTCAAGGCATTTGTGGTAGATTAAAAAGAATGGCCCTGATACTTTGCAATTCCTCCCACAGAGAGGTAGAATACATTGTGTTTGCATCTGGAATAGGCAGAGTTTGGCTTCTAGGTTGTGGAGAATGTAATTGAGTTCTTCAACTTGCACTCAGAAGCACTGCAGCTTCTGTTTTGGACCCACAGCTACTATACATAAAAGTCTAAGCTAGTGTGTATGATGACGAGAACTAAGCCCCCCTACATACACTGCATATGACAGCCTGCCAAACCCTAGAAGTCACCCCATTCATGGGCAGCAGACCATGAGCACCCCACAGAGATCAAGAATGACTAAGAACCACCTAGATTGGCCCAAGCCAGTTTGCCTATGCACAATTATAAGCTAAACACATTTACTATCTCAAACTACCACACTTCAGTGTGTGTGTGTGGGGGGGGGAGTAACACATTATATAACAATAGATACTTGATGCAGAAACATTTTCCTTCCAGAAACTTTCAATTATACTCTGAAGTTATTGCCACATTTTGTTTCTGAAATGCCCCAGGCACTGTCTTTTGACATAATACATTCAGATTTATTTTAGGGCTATTGTATGAGTGTAGATAGCTCTGGCAGAAGAAACAGCCTCACTTTCTTCCATTAAGATGCTAAAAAGGTGAGAGGGCTGAGAGAGTGGCACAGAAAATTCTGTGTGCGCATGTTGACGTGAGAGAAGAAGGGGGGTGTAATGTGTTTCCAAATTCACGTCTCTCAGATATGGATCTAACCTTCAGCCTGCGGTCTGGATCTCCGCTGCATAGAGAGTTTACCGATACTTTGAATGACTTCCAGGCTGGGCTTAAGTTATTCATCACAACCTGGGAAGAGAAAGACATGAATAGTGATTTGAAGAGGAAAGGCTTGACATTTTCATACTTCAACAGAAAACCTACTCGAGAATCCACTGCAGTGTTTGTGAAAAGGACAAGCATCTGGGACAGGTGGCCTGATGAAAACTTGAGAGCAGTGGGTATTTTAAGAATGGCCCCGAAGTAGGTCATTTTGGGCAGAACTTCTGTGGTCTCTGGTCTGGATGTTGTTTCATGAATAAGGACAGTGACATTTCCTAGCATGTGGATACAGAAGATGAGCTCTTCCACATCAAAAGGCCTGGGGGAGAGGCAAGGCTGCCTCTGGCCACTCATAAAGGACCTGTAGGACTATCAACCTTATGGTGTGGATTCCTTTCCCTTGGAGTCAGCAGAGGAAAGGTATCTGGCAAGGGTGGAGTGGTACTGCTAAAGAATTACCACCCATAGCTGAGGGGCCATGAGCAGTTAATGGTTGCCAGGACCAGGGGAGTCTATTTGTCTTGTGGTGTGGGCTCTGGTCAGTTGTCCATGCTCCAGTAAACAACCCACAAGCATGCTCATGTTAAACTCAGCAGGTCACACAAGAAGACATCAAAGTAGGAGGCAAACTTGCTGGGCATTCAGTGGGAGTAGAAGAGGGCTAAGTGAGGGTAATGAATGGCAAATGAGCAGAATATATGATACACATGTATGTATGTATGTATGTATGTGTGTATGTATGTATATATGTATGACATGAATATATACATATATACTTTTTGTTTACTATATAAATATATTACATAACACACATATATGCACACACACACACAGACACACACACATTGAGAGCTTTGGAAATCTGTGAGTTGTATCAGATGGAGAGTCTGGGAATTTTCTAGATGAATAATACTAAATTTTACATTAGCCAAACTCCATCTCAATAAGAATATTTAGAAATATAAATACGGTAATTCTTCATATTATAAACTAAATCAGTAATATAGCAAAATGTATTTAAAATCAGCTTACTAATAATGAACTTGGCAAAATATTGCCCAAGGGTTCATGAGATTTTTCCTGTCTTTGTTTGGTTTGAGTAACCCAGCTTGGTTCTGTGTGTATAAGTGGCTCCTTTGTACCAGGCATGCACTTTACAGTAGGAGCTACCAGAGTGTAACTCCTGGACCAGTAGGTGCTATGTTACTGAGGACTTCTTGCAAACACAAATTTTGAGCTTCACCTAGTCCTATAAACAGACACTTTTGAGGGAGATCTTGCATGTTATCTACTGAATGAAACCTAAGGGAACACCCAGATAAAATTAAACTATTAAATGAATTCTGCTGTGTTAATCTAGGAAGTTTTTGGGGTAGAAGTCATGAATTTGAGAGAGAGCAAAGGGGCACATGGAAGGGTTTTGAGGGAGGAGAGGGAAGGGGGAAATGGTATAATTATATTTTAATTTTTAAAAATTGGAAAGCATGTACAGCAATTATTTACAAGAGCACAGCTGGTCTCCGAGGCGGACGGAGCGCACGCTTCGGAGCGCACGCTTCTTACCTCTGTCCGGTGCACGAGCTGTTGAGTAGCGTCGTCGTTCATTCTGAAAATCTCCAGAAATGGGTCGGATTTACTGAAGAAATCCTAAAACAGAAAAATGAAATTAAGTGTTCTTTATCTCTCTCCTGAACTTGTTCTGGTCCTGAACACTGGTAGGCTTAATTACCATGATCTGACTTTTTAGGGAATGGAAGCCAACTGGCCATTTCTTTTTGGAAGGTCAGCCTCAACTCCACCACCCCCTCCTCCTTGCCCCAAGGCAGTGTGTGTCACCATTTCTTCTTTCTGTGTTCTTGTCCTTCCTACCCACCCTCGCCTGGAATGAGCTGCATCTGAACTCCAAGTTCTTTGTTATGTATTTGCTAGGCTGAACACTGAAGGATTCTTCACAGATGGATCCAAAGGCCAGTTCCTTGAGAAGTCAGAAATCTGTTGTCTCAGATATGCTAACCGTGCAATTTTAGAATCTGTATCTGACCACTGTAATGTCTGGATCATTTATGCCTCTGTCTCTGTTATTTTTTGCTTGGTTCTGCTTCTTGGTATGTTTGTTAATTTTGATTAAATACACACCACATAACAAAGATTACAAAGGTTTCAGATGTGTCCTTGGTATCTATAAAGGAGTTAAAATGAGGGCATTGCCTTGAATCTAGTCTGGATTAAGCTATTCAGAGGTTGGATTTCTTCAGAAGTCTTTAGTTAAAAAAAAAAAAAGAGTCCTTCTATTTCAGAGTCCTCCCTCCTTGGGTGCTGTCCTTGGAATGATCTAGCTGTAAACCAGAGTATTTATGGAGTAGGTCTCCTCTAGAGGACTCCCTGTGTCTCTCTGTTAATCTCTGCTGTCCTGGCTTTAGTTCCTGGTTCACTTTCTCTGTTTCTGTTTGTTAATTAGTGAACACATTGCTGCATTTCTCCCCTGCATCATTCCCATTCTCCCAGTGGCCCTGAATTTCCATGTTTTCTTTCCCTACTCCACAAGTCAATTGAATTTTGGGCTCAGATTTGTTTTCTAGACATTTCCTGGCAAACTTTACAGGTTCTACCCCCATGCTATTTAAGGAACCAGGCTTGAGTGAGAAATGTGCCCAGAGTGTCTGAGTTATCTCGCTGGCTTTTCTTCTTTGCTCAGTTTCTGGGTCCTTTCATCTTGGCTGCCTGAGAACCCACAGACAGATGTCCCTTGTATCATTTTAGTGCTTATGGGTGCTTCTAGTGGGAGGAAAAGCCCATACAAACAGGTGCTTTATGGGCATCAGGACCTACAGAATCTACATCCTTTTAATAGCTTTTTCTCCTTTCTCTCTCTCCCTCTCTCTCTCTCTCTCTCTCTCTCTCTCTCTCTCTCTTTCTTTCTTTCTTTCTTTCTCTCTTTCTCTCTCTCTCTCTTTCTTTCTTTCTCTCTCTCTCTTTTTCTTTTTTTCTTTTTTCTTTTTTTTGCCCAATAGTTGGTAAATTCTCAGAAGGGAGAACTATGCCTTGCTTTCCCTTACACATTTACTGTTTATTTTCTCAGGTTTTATATAGTATATACTTTCTTGCTGGTTTACATAGTGCACACTCTAAGTATTTTACATGAAGCATATATTTTACAGTGTATACATTTTAGTGTTACCTGGTTGAAGGAACTCATGCATGAATGAATATAGAAATGAATGAATGAATGAATGAATGATCCCTTGGTATAGAATAGGGAGCCACCTCTTCCATAGCCTCCCCCACCATCACCACTAAAATGTAACCGAACAGAATCTATTTTGGTCCTAACAGTCATCAAGTTAACAAGCTATCTTCTGACAGTTTATATCCCTTTGGCTTCTCCTTCTCTACCAACGTCTTCACCAGTCATCCTCATCCTGAGCTGCAGAGTGTATGGAGGCCATCAAGCCTTTGTGAGCTATTAGGATCCAAGGAACACTAGTATCTAGTTGTACTCTCTGCCATCAAGTTTGGTGGGAAGACAAATGTAAGAGTCAACATGCTTTACGCTAAATAATGAATGAACAAGTGTGCAAAGGTTCTTTAGAAAGGAGGAATGTATGGTCAATTTGACTGAAGAAAATGGCTGTGAGGATGCTGTGCTTCTAGAGCAGGAATAATGTGGAAGAATAAACATGGAGGGGGTAGAAGTAGCAGCTTAATTTTACTGTGTGTGCTAGGGTGGGTGGAGACAACTCTGGCAAATTTGGCTCTGTGGTAACCAAGGCCACTGATGCTCAGTATATAGGTCTTTGCTGTTCTGGAGAGAAAGTCCAGTGCTACCAAGGGACAGTGAGCAGGAAACAGCAAAACTGGCTCTGCCTTGAACATCAGCCTAAATAGCACTGAAGCACATATGGACACATAGACCGGAAGCACACACAGCTGCACAGGTTCAAGCTCAGTAGGGATCCAACACAAGGGGGCAAATAGACACAGGGTGACCCACTCAACCAAGATGCTATTTGTGACTGATACCCATTGGCAAAGGGGAAAATCAGTTTTTTTTTTCCAAGAGAGTGCTACTGGATACATCAACCTAGTACACTTCAAGGTAGGCCATGTGCTCAGGATTATTTGCCCAACACAAATAAAACAGATGCTAAGGATTGTTGATATTTTTTGTGCGTGTTGTTTCATCTTGTTTAGTCATATTTTTGATTGTGTTGTTTTTTTCATTTTTAATGCTTATTTATTTAATTATTTTGAGAGAGAGAGAGACAGGGGGGGTATCATGAAGCTTGGAATTTAGTGCGTTTGGAGGTAGGGAGGTTTAGAGGGGAGTTTGGGCAGGGAAAAACATGATCAAAGTGTATTTTATGAGCCCTGAGCTGCCTGCTATCCCAGGGGAATCTCCACTCTCCCACCACCTCTCCCCCACCTCCACTAAACCTCTGAACCATACAGACAGGAGCGTGTTGTCCTTTGAGAGGCTCCACCCAAATATAGACACCCACAGCCAAACAATGGATGGAGCTTGGGGACTCTTATGGAGGAATAGGAAGATGGATTACGGGCCCAAAGGGGATAGGAACTCCACAGGAGAACCAACAAAGTAACTATCTTGGATCCTAGGGGCTCTCAGAGACTAAACTGTCAACCAACGAACATACACAGGCTGGACCTAAGATTGTCTACTTATATGTAGCAGATGTGCAGCTTGGTCTTCATGTGGGTCCCAAACAACTGGAGCAGGGGCTGTCCCAAAAGCTGTTGCCTGCATGTGGGTTATGTTCTTCTAGCTGGGCTGCCTTATCTGGTCTCAGTGGGAGAGGAAGAACCTAGCCTTGAAGAGACTTGAAGTGCTATGGTGGGGGGATATCTAGGGAGCCTCCCACCTGCTAGAGTAGAAGGGGAGGGGGAGGTGAAGGATTGTAGGAGGGGGTGACTAGCAGTGAGCCCAATATAAAGTGAATAAATAAGATAAAATAAAATAAAATTAAATTAAAAAGAATTCAGTTTATATAAGACCAAAGCAAACTCTCTGTACTGTGTATTCTACACAATTTCAACACTAAAAATATTTTTTCAGCATTTTCTACAATTATTTCACAAGTCTTTAAAAATAACTCATTACTATCTAACTAATGTAGCAGCATATTTTTTCCTGCAAGTTTGGAGGAGCTAAGATGGGAGGAGTAAGGAGAGGAAGAGGAGAGGAAGGAGACAAAGAGGAGGACCAGAGAGAGGGGAACATGGCAACAGATATGCGCGTGTCTCTAGCAGTCAAAGGTAGCTGATATATCTAGGTATGGTATTGGGTTACACCTCTAGTTGTATAGGCATCTTGTTATTGAGCATTATCAAATATATAAAGCCTTTGGATAATTTAAGAATTAGAATCTCATTTCTACCGGGCACTACGTGGATGGTGGGATAGTCTGGGCTCAGCCCAGCCTTGTGGAGACAGTGTGGAAGATTGGCAGAGACAATCTCCCATGCTAGTGTCTCATGGGTGGCAGGGCCGATGTCTCTGGCCGCCTGAGCCATGGCCTGAGCCGAGCAGTGGCGAGAATACACCGCTGTCACTCATGGCCACAGGCCTTGTCTAGTTGGGAAGATGGTGGCAGATTAAGAACAAGCCAGATGGAGAGCTGATGATTTAAATATCTCCTGCAACATAATATTAACCTAGAACCTTTGTAGAATATCCTAGAAAGAGAAGATGGGCAGGGGAGAACTACTTTCTCTGCATCCCTCCCCATCCAACCTGAAAATCAAGTACCACCTTTGTATCATTGTCTAAAGGTAAGAGAGGACCACAGCCTTCCTCTTCCCAGGGGCCCAGGTGTCTGCCTCCTCCATTAGCCTGCCCCACACACCATGCCTCATCCCCAAATGGCCCATTTGTTTCCCAGACACACTTGTAGCTCATTCCCATGTGCTTGTCAAGGCCTTTGCTTTTCAGCCTATTTCTGTTTCTATATACTTCTAAAAATATTGTTGCTGCCTCTTTTACACCTTCCCTTCTGGATGTGGGCCACATTAGCTTGTTCCTGTATGCCTATGGGCTTTGGCTTTGCCTCCATAAATAGATTACTGGCCCCTCAGGGGATGTTTGTGAATTATATTTAAGAATTGCTGACCGCAAAAATTTAAAACTTTTCTTCTTGTTGATTTTTACTTATAATGGGAAAAGTGGAAAAATATAAGTTAAAAACAGAAAGATAGGGGGAACAACCCCACAAACCCATCTAAAACTTCGTGTTTGGAATCTGAAGTTTGTATAGCAAATTTCTGACCTGAAAACCTAGAAGACAGAAGTTGGAGGGAGGCTTCACAGAACAATATAGCTCTCAGATATCAACAGAGAAGTTTATTTGGACAGTGGATGGTGGTTAATATGGAACTCATAACTAGTCAGAGTGCAGAGAATAAAAGTCTGTAGGAGGCTCAGCCACAAATGGGCATCTGTATCACACTCTTGTCCAGGTTCGGGGATCATTGTGGAAAGAGAGGTAGGAAGAGTCAGAGGTCAGTGATGACCAGAGTGAAACCACATCTGGGGACAAGAAAGATCTCTGCACTAAAGAACTTGCAGCGGCTGTGGTTGCCTGCATAAAGCCTGAGTAAGATCAAGCCAGTCCATCATTTTAACATGGAGA